ATCCAAGACTACTTTGTGAAATAGCCATTCCAGAAGGCTGGTTAGCATTTTCTTTTGGTCTTTTACAATTTGTTCTGTTCTTCTTTGAATATATACTTGTATTTCTTTTTTCTTCTTCTGCTCGCTACTTGCTATTAACTTGCTTTTGATTGCTTTCTACCATATAAGTGCATCTGCCTGCTATACACCATCTTCTAATAGTTCGATATCTTTGATGTTGCTATCTGCTAATAAGTTTATTTGCTTGATTTTTCTATTCCACTCTGTGGTTTTTCCTTGTAACTTGATACTATTTACTACTCTAGTCTCTTTAATTAACTTGCCTAGCAGGTTAGCTACCTTTATAAATTTGCTTTTTTTGGCTTTTCTATTTATTTTTCTCCCAAAATCTACTATCTTGTTTGGTAGATTGTATTAACTTGCTAGTAGAATTGTGCTCTCTAAGGACTCCCATAATTCATCAAGATCTGCTTCTAATTTCTCTAGTGTTGAAGGGTCTGAAGTTAATGTTTCTTGCTTAAGAGCTTTTAGTCATTTAATATTTAGCCTACCCCAAAGACTTGTTTGATAATTGTTCTAATTTTTTTCTGTAGCTAAATCAAGCTTTCACACTCTTTGCTTCATATTTGGTATATTTTTGGTCAAGTGGTTACTTAAATGGGTTGGCAAATATTATTTAATTTTTGTAAATACTAAGTTATGATCACTCCTTGTGATCCCTAACATGCACTTAATATTAGCTTTTTGTGTTATTTTGACTATATCTTGGAATACCCATATTTGATCTATTCTTGTTGCCACTGTATTATTGCTCCATATAAACTTCTTTTTGTGGAAATTGAGCAATCTGTATATATTAACAAAATTGTATTCTTTAAACCATCTATGCAATGCTAGTTTTCTATAGCTCTCCACTTGTGATAACTTGTCTAATACTGGATCTACTATATGATTAAAGTTTTCTATTACAATTGTGAGATCTCTATCTTGTGTTTTACTTATTTTGTCTTGAACCAATATATCTATCTTTTTTATTGTCTCCGTATTATTTGGGGGGATATAAACCAGAATTACTACTAACTTGTAGATTTTAAAATAAAAGTGTACTATTAATATATATTTGTTTAGCTTCTCTATTCTGCCAATATACTTTTCTAAATCTTCTCAAACCAGGAGACCAACACCAAAGCCTTTCTTTTTAGATTTTGAGCTGATTGACCATATTCCTTTGAAATTACTATTGCTCTTTAGTACAAACTCTGCTTCATGCTCTTGCAGGTTTGTCTTTGTAACCCCAATTATATTGTACTCTTTTTTCTTTGCCTATTTTAACAGAAGTTCTATCCTATAATTATGCACCTTAAGCCTATTAATGTTGTATGTTGCTAGGTTGATTTGCTTAGCCAGCTCTGAATTTCTTGTTAGCACTAACTATATCTGAACCTGGCTACCATTCGGGGTACCCATAATTGGTGTGGTGTCTGTGGTATCTCTTAGAAGCGCATGGAGGCTTTGCTGCTATTTTGGTGTTCTTCAAGTAATTCTAGTCTTTTAAGAATTTTCTGCAACAAGTCAACTTGGTCTGATTTTTTTTTACTACTTTCTGCCACAAATCTTTTTGGTTCTTGGTCGATATTTGGTCTTTTGCCCTTCTATTGCTCATTAATAGATTGGATATTCTTTCTCATAAACTTGTGTTTCGGTTTATTCATGCTTTCTTCAAATGGCTTTACCAAACTCCTGAATTGAAGATCTATATTTTTTTTGTTTGAAGCTAGATTTTTCTCAATCAATCTTGGTCTCAGATCTCTGTGCATATTAATATCCTGTTTGAAGGTTTCTTTAGCTTTTTTGCTTTTCACATTAGTCTGTCAAAAAAGTCTACTTAAGTTTATTCAGAGTTTTTTAATACTATGCAGATATTGTATACTCATGCAGCTACTGTTTTCTGCCTCTCTACTATGTGATCTTCACTCTAATTTTGTATTAAAATAGTATAATGTCAACTTCTGAGCTTGTAACAGATTCTGCTCTGACTTAAAATACAATTGTGCTCTTCTGCTTTGGTTGTCATTTTGGTTATTTAGTGTATATACTGCTTGTACTCTGTACTTTTTTAGCTAATAGAGTAAAAGGCTATTATAGGCTGTTGATAGTACATTATATATAATAGTTTTGTATTTGTTTTACTCTTCTAGAAGTCTGATATCAAATTTGCCTAGTGTCACTCTATACATCTTGCCTTGGTCCAGATGTACTGACCAATTTTCTCTTAATAAAGTTTCTCATTCCTCAGCAAATGTTGTAATTTTAATAAAAGCCACCTTGTTTGCGAAGTTATATTGCTAGGCAAGAATAGATACTGTATCAAAATACTTAAGAAATTTTTTTATTTCTGCTACGCTTGTATCTTTCAGAAGATCTCAGAGTGTAAAAAAATAAGAAGATTCATTTATATATTTCTTTGAGATAAAATCTCTCTTGGGTGCTCATGCTAAGTTAAATATGTCTTTATGCTTTTTAACTTTTTTACTGTTTTCGCTCTTTGTACTACTGTAATTGCTTGTTGAGAGAAGTTTAACCAGACTATAATCTAGTATGCTAACTTCGGTTTGTATTAGTATACTTTGACTAGTCTCAAGCTTATTGTTAGTTGAAGTATTTGTTTCTTCGTGTTCTGTTAGGCATCTTTTATAAGCAGAATTTTTGGCATCAATTGGTATACTTTTCCCATAGTTGCTTGATAGAGTGATTGGCTTAATAGGGATAATGTCTATTGAAATAGAGTTATTCCTGTCAGGTTCTTCTTGAGTATCATTTGTAGTGACCATACTTTCTAGCAAGGTTTTTTTTCCTCATCTGAAATTGATTTATGCTTGAACTCTTTACTCTCTGCCTATTTATATCTTTTGATAACCATGCGAATAATTGCAATAAAGCAGACATCACTTATTTCAAGGTACTCTGTAACAAATTTGTTTTGTTTTAGCATTGTTGGCTCTTGTTTACTATAAATACAAGTTTCTCCTCTTTTAATTTAGAGAAAAAATTTCTATATTCTATGAGTGGTAGCATTTTTATTTGCATGTGACTTGTAGTCATGTTGCTAGATGTTTGTTTACATTAATTGCAGATATATTATGTGATTGTTTGTTGTTTTTAGTAATCTACGTTACAGGGTCAAAGCCAATTTTCCAAAAATCAATTTTGTAGAGAAAAAATTTTTTTTGAAAAGCAGTTTTCCAGCTATATATCTTTAAAGAGTTGATAGACAAACTAGAAGTACTAGTAAACTTTAGTTGATTTTTCTTGATGCATCTTTTCTCTTAGTTGTTAAAGTATTGTAAAATAGTGTACTTTACTATTTTTTGACTGTTTGTCTTTAGCTTAATTTTGGTACGAGGATCTGCAAGAAAGAGTTTAAAAAAAAAATTACTATTATTATTTTTATTTTTATTGTTAGTATAATAATAAAAACTTCATTTGAGGTAACTATAGTTATTAGAGTATTTGGTCATTTTTGAGAAAAACTTTACAAGAAACAATAATAAAAAGTTAGATAAAAGTACAAGTATATGCAGTTTGACATATAGCCCAACTTATTATTCTCAAAGATTGTCAAACTTATGAAGACAAATTAAACAATATTATTAGACAATCTATATACAAAAATTAATCTTCAAAAGAAGTGCAGAAAAAATTTATTATGTATATATATCTGTAGTATAGTAAGTAGAGTGTATAGCAATGTATAGCTATATATTCAAATTCTGCCAATAGCCTGTTATTTCTGGTATATTGCAGTAATAGTACTAACTATAGTTGTGTTTTTTTATTTTTAATTTTTATATTTATTATTAATATTATTATTTTACTTTATTATTAGCTATTTATTTATTAGTTTATTTATTTTCTTATTTGTAAACTACTTACTTAATTCTTAAATTTTGTAAAACAAAATTTTCAAAGATGAGAGTAGTGTTATATTAAAATCAGAGTTGGCATAAACTAGTCAATGGTCAAGCTTGACCAAACCAGTTTGACCAATTTGACTAGTTGGTTAAAAAGTTTAGTATTGGTCAAATTAGTCAAAAGATATTTAAATATATATATACTATATATATATATATATATATTTATTTATTTATTTATTTATTTATTTTGAATACTAAATTTATTATCGCAGCTTTATTACTTGATGGAACAAAAATGAACCTTAAAGGCAAAAAGAGTAAATGCATATTCTATACAAATGTCTCGTGGCTACCAAATAAACATAATAAAGGAAAAGAAGATAGAATAGAAGCAGGCTAGATCTAGGTCTTTGTAGATGAAAAAGAAGTAGTGTTTGTAGGCAAAGTAAGAGTAAGCGATTGGCCCTCATCTACAAGACCAGAACTGCTAGCGATACTATGTGTGTTATTGACAGTTCTGATAGATATACTAATAGTGATTAAATCAGATAGTGTAGCAGCAATTCTGGCAATAAAGTACGCACTTAGAGAAAAAAAGTTCAGTAAGAGTCTAAAAAAAAAAAATAGAATACTACTGGACAAAATCATAGAGACAGTTCAATTTAAGCGAATTAAATTAGAACTAGTGAAAGTGAAAGTATACTCTGGTATAAGATGGAATGAAAAGACAAATAGTATCACAAAGAAGGGAGCCCTTCTTAATGAAATATGAAGATGGCCAAGTACACTTTGGCCATGGTAGAACTTTAATATAGCTTGGTTAAACAAAAACATTGAACACCCTCTGCGTAATTTCATACTTAGAGTTAAAAGAAGACTTATAGAAAGTGAATGGTACTCGTCAAAAAATCTCGAACCATTATGACAAATAGAAGAAGAAAACAGTACTATGTGGTACTTGTGTTAGAAAAGACTAGTAGAACTCAGAAGGCAAAGATGCAAGTTACTGATAAGCAGTAATAAACTAGTTATCTGATTAAAAGGGCTTTTTCGAGTACTCTCTACACTAAGTATACTTCATCAGTGCAAGCCAGATATATATATCTCAGCAAACTGTGTATTGTGTAATGAAAATAAGATTGAAGATATGAGTCATCTCTTTGAATATGGAAGTTTAGAAAAGATGTGGACAGAAATTAAAAAGCAGGCATTAACAACAGCCTGGGCTATACTTGAGGAGGAGACAAGATTTGAGTATACACTACTAGATTTTAAAGAAGTTGTATATAGCAATACTTATCAAGCAAAACAAAATGCAAAAAAAAAGACTCACACTTGGCTTGGTTCAACAAGCAGACTTTCTCCGTTTATGTGAGACGAATAGAAAGTATAGCTCGAGTTGACAATGCTTTGAAGCACTAGTCTATTCCATGCAGGAGTGCTTCTACAGAATAATATGGAGAGAAAGATGTAAATGGTTTGCAGCTTGGGAAAAATATAATGGGATAAGCAGAGTAGTCAAGTTAGGGAAGAGAGATAGGAAGGTACTGAATGCATCAAAGGGGGTTATGAGAACAGAAGCTTCAGAAGAAGTACACTTATCAGGTTCAAGTTCATATACAGAAGACGGGGCAAATGAAAGCCTCTCAAACAAAAGGTACAAGATTACAAAAAGTATTCTCGATAAAGAAAAAGAAAAAAGGAAAAAAGTCCTAATTGACAAAAGTTAAGGAACAAGTGAAGGAAGTGTATAAAGTAGCAAAAGAGTCATTATGGCAGCAGATCACAAACTCTTTTCCTCCCAGGTGGTGGGTAAAATAAACAGTAGAGTATATAAATTTCAAATTATAGTTAGCTGAGCACCTGGTTATAGCAGGCCTTTAAATATGGGTAGCACTATATGTGGGGTCAGTTGACCAACATCAGTGCGATAACTATACTTGGGCACTTCATAAGTAGCCGGGTACTTGTCTAATAAATAGTTAGATAGTTTATTATATAAATAACAAATGTCTAATAAATTAGTATGTGGTTATCAAAAAAAAAAAAAAAATACTAAATTTATTTAATTAATAGACTAGACTATTTGACCAATTTAACCAGACCATTTGACCAATTTAACCAGACTAGTTTGATCAATAAATTTTTGGTTGACTAGTAATTTGACTAACTCTAATTAAAATATATTAGTATTTTTAAAATTTTTATTAAATAACTCTGTATAACTTCTAATTGTAATACAAATCTGATTCTACCAATAGAATCCTTGATATCAATTTCCTTAGTGTAGTTTTTCTTATTTATCAATCAAGTTAATAGTTAATGAGATATTAAAATTTAAAGATATATAACTATAGAAGATAATGAATAACAATTTGTTACTCCAGTAATGCAAACCCATTGGTATGGACCCATTAGTACAGACCTATTGGTACAGACCTGTTGACACAGACCTATTGATACAGACCTATTAACACAAAATATAGAGTTCTAAAAAATATAAAAACTTTATCTTTTTGCTCTAGATAGAATAGATACTGTTCTCTATTTTTCTTAACTTTTTCTTATTAAATAAATAATTTATCTTTGACCATATACCTACTACTATGTATATGCTCTTTTTATAGTATTTTTATAGTAATTTTATAGTGTTTTTTTTTTTTTGAGTTTTTCTTGAGTTTTTATTCTATTTTTATTATATTTTTCTAGATATTTTTTCTTATTTTCTATATATTATATTCTATATTTTGAGTTATTTTTAAGTTTATATCCTTTGAGTTTATTTTTTTTGAGTTATATTTGAGTTTTATTTGAGTTTTATTTTTTGTATACACATATTCTTATCCTCTTCACATTAAGTTAAGTAGTATAATTAGCAAAACCAGTTATCTACATTACAATACAATTAAATAGCTTTTCACAACTTTACTTTTATTAAATAAGAATAGAATTAAAAAAAATTCTTATAAACTAAAACTTCTTATATCTGAAGAAAATAAATAAAATTTACTAAAAAAAATAGTGCAAATTCTTGAACCATTTAAAAAATTAACAACTTATTTTAGTGGAATTAAATATATAACTCTTTTAGTTATTAATTCAAGTATTAAGATATTAAAGCTTAAATTTGCTAATAGTAATATATTATCATTAGATAGACTTGAACAGATGCTTAATAGTAGTAATATAAAATAAAATTTAACTAAACCTATTAAAGATAGAATGTAACTTTTCTAAATTTATATAAAATAGATTATAGATTAATATTATATAACCAATATCATATAGTATTATATTATTTATATAAGTTATAAACAATATGTAATTTGACTAATTATAATTAGTAATTCTTTAGAAAAAACATATGGGGTGTTGTCAATAGAAACAGCCCATTTTTACAATTTTTTGAAAAATGAGTTTTTAATAGATTCATATA